GTCATTCCGTTACATTCCATTGAACGATTTATCGTCTGAATACGTACCACCGGCGAAAATACAGTATGCAAGTAATATTCGAAAATACGTTTTTCTTTGATACATGCTTTTTTTGTTCGTTTTTTCTTTTGTTTTGTTTTTGGTTTGGCCTTTTAGCTGACAGAGAAAAAAAAAACAACGGTCACTCGATTATTCTTACGCGTGCGTTATTATCACAATGCTTATCTACGCTCTAATTCGATTAATCGCTAACCAAATGACAGATGATAGGATACGGCGGTTACAATAAAAAAATATACATAAATAAACTTATCGAGCTTTTTTTTTAGGAGTTATCGTAATTATAACATTCCTCCATTTTTGCTTATCTTTCCTTCTGGAATATTTTTTTTTTTTAATTGACATCCAGCCAATTCCATCGCGCAACACGAAAAAGAAAAAAACAATAAAATAAAGGAACTCGAATATTACTTTATACTGTGTTTTTATACCCACAAAAGGGGAAACTTTGGCAACATACTAAACGTTGGCAACAACATCCTCTCTTCATTATTCATTTTTTTCAGTTTTTCGTTCCAGCTGGGCAGCACAGCCTTTAACCACACACACAAAATATTCAATATCATTCTTTTTTTTTTTCTTTTTGTTCTTTTTATACACGCACAAGCACTCGCAATAGCTTCTGCTTTCTCCATATAATCGTTATCGATAATCAGCAAGTACAATTAATAGTTTAATCGAATAGCTTCATTGTAACCGTTAATAATAATTAATAGTTATTAATATACGTATATACAGCACAGAAAAACTGTTTCACACTGAATAACAAATTGTACAGTGATACAAGGCTAACACTGAGATCGTCGGATACCACTTCTCTCTCTCACTCTCTCTCTCTCTCTCCCTTTCTCTCCCTCACTCTCAATCATTATATTATCCTTTGTTTCTTTTCCTTTTTTATTTTGCCCCTTTGAACATTATCAACACGCCTGCGCCGATACTTAAGTTTTTTTTGTTTTTTGTTTTTTTTTTTTAGTTTTCTTTATTCTCGAGCAAATAATCCACGAAATGCGTACAAACATTTTTGGAAACTCTCGTCGACTGTTAAGCGCCATTGGTAGAACAAGTACGGTTTTTAAGGATGAAGGCAATCGATCCATCTTTTGAAGTTTCATTATTTCCAAAAATGTTTAAGTTACTCATAACAGATTACGATACAATCACGTCACTCCTAAACATACACAATTACCTCAATCTGCAAAAACGGTCCTGGTGAATTACATAGACGGTACCGTCAGAACTTGTGAAGCAACCGAAGGTTACAACAAGAAATCATCGAGTAAAATCTCTCACCATGCACGGTGTCTAACGTAGAATTAATTAGTCGGTACACATGCGTTCACAAGCATAACAATTCAATGACGGGGAATAACATCAACTATTTCTGTTTTCTTTTGTTTATCTTTCATTTTTTTTTTCTTTCGTTAAATTAATTTACATCTTAACGACGTTTTAACAGTTCAACCGAATTCTAATATATTATCGAAGATATAATAATAATATAGGCTGAGAACGAGATGTGCAGGAGCGATGCGTTTGTTTTTCCATGGAACTTCTTATTTATGCCCGATTAGAATTCTTTTTTTTTTTCTTCTTTTTGTGCCCTTTTTATAAGAGAGAAACATATACAGTACCGTACAAAACTATAACAACTTGATCGTAATAATTCTTCAAACATACGTTTCTTTAACATTTTTTGTATTAATTAACGAAAACTATGGATTTTATTAAACGTTATTTTCCTGTTTGCAAGATTGTATAAAAATTATTTAGAATAAAAAAGGTATTATGACAGAAGTTGAAATATCTGAAAATCCTATCGGACAAAACTATAACAACTTCCTCTAGTTGATAGGTATCATTTGTTTAGAAGTCACGTGGAATGCATGTTCAGTTGTCACAATTGTTTAAAATAACGAAAGCGAAGTGCATTAAACTAGCAGTTCAAAAGTTAAAAAATTTATGAGAAAATAAAGGATGGACCTTCCGCACGCATTGGAAAGACGTATTTAATGTTTACAAACGATTCATCCAAAAGTTCAAAAAAGGATAGAAAAGTTCAGAAAGACTAATGTTAATTTTATACTGAATTTAATGCATAATTCTTAAACGAACACTTATAGAATCGACCAAAGATTAATTATTATATTATAAAAGGAACTATTCATAACAGCATCCGAAGTCCGAACTGTTGCGAATGTTTTAAATTGTATTTCAAATAGAACGGTGCAACGTCGTTTGAACGAAGGTGGACTTTAAGAAAGAATTGCAGTACATAAAGAATGTCAAAATGGCAAAATGTTCTCTAGTGGAACGAATCGAAATTTAATTGATCGAATTCGCTTTGTCAGACATCCAGCAAACACGAAATTTCATCCTAAATACATGATAGGCTGTGTCAAGTATGGAACTGGTAATGTTATGATACTGGAGTGTTTTAGTTTTGATGTAATAGGTACTCTGTATCAAATCAAGGGTAAATTAAATCAAGTAGAATATAAAAAAAATTTATGGAAAAAGTAATGTAGCATGTATGCCATAATATGCTAACAAGATAGTTGTTTATGCAGGATAAATAATCTTAAACATAAAGCAAAGATTGTTATGAAATGGTTCAAAGATAATCGGGTTGCTCTTCTTAGCTAGCTAGCTCAGTCATCAAATTTAAATCCAATCCGATTAAAACTTAATTAAGTCTATGCCTTATGGTTCTATCTCAAAATATTAATTTTCTTATTGTAAGTCCTTTTTCCTATTTGTATTTACAATATGAATTGTAATAAGTTTCGTAGAAGTTGTAATTTTGTCCGATAAGATTTTCGGGTGCTTCAATTTTCGTTGCAATACTCTTCTTATTTTCAATAGTTTTCAGACAATTTTTATACAGTCCTGCAAATAAGAAAATAACGTTTAAGAAAATTCATACTTTTTGTTAATTAATATAAGGAATGCTTAAAATGTTCAGTGAACTATTACGATCAAATTATTTATAGTTTTGTCCGGTACTGTAGATATTCATAATTATATCAGAACAGGCTACAAGGTTCATGGATATAAATGCAATTAGCCTGTTGTTCGAACGAAATAAACGTGTTTTCCTTTTCTCATTTATGTTTAACAAACGCTTAAACAAATGAAAACAAAAGAATCATGCACGTTTCTCTGGTTATCGGCGATCCAACTATCGATTTGGTTTTTTGCAAAAATTAAACAAAGAATATAGTATATAATATACATATTTATCGCCTTACACGTTGATATTTCTATAACCTCACTTTTTCCCTCCTTTTCCCTTCCTCGTTCGTTACAAGAGAATTATTCGTTTAAATCGTGTATAGCCCGAACGTGACACATCATTTCACAGCAACAGCTGCCACTCGCTATGATACACAATTTATGGTCCTATTTTTCCTTCAAGTACTTCTGTGCTAAATCTCTCCGCGAATGTTGACAGTCGTGGGCCATTTGAACCGGTCAATGGCACAGGCTGACGCTGCACTCTACTAACTTTAAGGCGATGGAGCACCTGATTTTTGAATAGTTTCTTGCATGTCGGTACGAGATACCCTGAAGAAGCCATCATCCACTTAACGGAAAGATAAAATTATCGTAATTTATCACAGTGAATGCGTGATGTAATTATAACGATGTCTTATGATTAAAAATGAATCAGTCGCGTGTTTGGTTGCTTGTATAAATTTGCAATAACAGTTGTTCGCTTCAACGTAGAATTTTCTGTACTTATGGAGAACAAAACATACGAAATGCTTAATACTATATGTCTTAAAAGCATATGTAAAATGAGATGCGTGAAATTAACGGTAAAAGTGGATTTTAATACTTTTCCAACGAATCATATATAGTTTAGTATTAGTAATACGTATTCCTTACAAAAGAAAAAATAAAACAAGAAATTGTATAATCGAGAATAATACAAAATTAAACAAGGATCACGTTCACAATTGAAGATTATATTAAAGATTCGTTCGAAGTACAGAATGATGTTCTCTTCAAGGTATATTCCAACACGCATTAATGATTTTTATATACGTTAAATATCTTAATTTATTTACTCATCTGAAAGCTGTACCCCCAGCTGTACTGTTTATATTGCTGAACAAAAATGGAAAACATCAACAGAGCTCACATTTCCTTTTTTTTTCATGCGTGATTTA